CCAATACACTATCTGAGGTGGAAAAAATTAAAGAAATGGTAGTCAAACTTTATGTCCAAATGCCTCCCTAACCTATCCACCTTCCATTTCTATCTATTTTGAAAATTTAAAGCTCAAACTTAATTCTAAAAATAAGGCATTTTAAAAGTACACTTCCTGAACCTAGTTTGAAAATAAGAGCCTTTCTTTTCTTTTAGAGTATTGGATTAAAAACTATGAGTTCAAGATTTTCAAAAGCTAAAAGGAAAGCCATGATGTAATTATTGCAATTGAAATTATTTAGAACATAAAAGAAATATTGGATCTTTAAAATTATAGCAAAGAAATGCAGCTTGGCCCATTCAACTTTTATTTTGTGAAAGGCACTGGCTATGTCTTGCCCATGGAAAGAACAATAAACTGAGCAGTTATGTAACATGGGGAAATGTAATGCAGAAAGAATCAGGGTGTACCAGCAGGGCAACTTGAAACTCACAGAAAAGAGTGTTACTACAAGGTAAGGTATAAATGTATAAATGCCTTGTGAATTTAGTCAGAAACATGTGAGTTTGTTGACTTAGAGCTACTATTTTTGTCTTTTAAAGTCACAAAAATATTTTTCTTTAGAAGAGTAATATTCCCAACACACAACCTCCCATGACAATGAACCCAGGCTTGATTTGCCCATATCTCTCTCTCTTGTGCTTTGAGGTGGCTTCTCGTGATGCTCCAATCTGAATCAAGCTGTAAACAATCTTTTACAGTGGACACAGAGAGTCAAGAAGTGGGTGCAGGAGAAATGCAAACACAAGAACATCTGATCTTGTTTCAGGAAAACGTTGGTGCAATAAAATTGTGGATTTGTGTCTTTGGGGACACAGTGTGGATGTTTTCTTTGTGTTTGGTTTTGTTATTTCTTCCTCTAACAATGAAGGAAATGATGCAATTTATAAAATATTGCTAGGTTTTACTATGCACCAGGCAGTCTTTCTAAAGGAGAAAGAAAATGCAGGGAAGCTTATGCACAGAGGAAGTGCTCTCCCTTGAGGGCTGGCCACCAGCCATGGGTCTTGCTCTGGGGATCTTTGTTACCCTTAGAAGTCAATTGGTGAAAGCATCAGGTTGTAGGAGACAGAGCATGGAGTATTTAAAATAATATTCCAAAGACAAGCCCTCCAATAATAACAACAAACCCAGGATCTGTCAGAGTGCATAACTGTGGATGGCAGAGCACCAATGTATAATTTGAATTTAAGAAGCAGAGCCACTAGAGGCATTGTTATGGATAGTTTAGAGCATATAGAAATCCTTCCTCTTTTTATCAAATTTAAGACATTTGAATATGGATTAGATATGAGTTGATACTTAGGAATTACTAATTTCTTTAGGTCGAGAATATTTAACAATATGATTTTGTACAAAAATGTCACTTTTAAAAATGATGATTACTACAAGTTTCAAGGATAAAATGATATGATGCTTGATATTTATTTTAAAGAAAATTTCATGGAATAAAAGAATAATAAATTATCATGTAAGATTTTGATGACCATTGAATCCTGGCAATGGGTAAATGGAAGACTCTTACACTATGTTCTTGATTTTTGTGCATTAAAATTTTTATAAGAAATTCCTGCTTTGCTACTCCTTAATCCATGCATTTAAGTAAAACTCTTAACCTGTTGACATTCTGATTTTTACCAGGGCAAAGGAGAGTCTATATAGTTCTTCCCCTGTAGGGTGACTGCGGATTGAGCATTATACAATGGGTTTAGCGCTTAGTCTAACCCCTAACAAAGTGAGAACACACAATGATTATAGGTTACCATTATGCCTGAATATGGATATGGTGTCGAGATTTTTCTCCACAATCCCCGCTCTCATTTGAGCTCTTTTCTGATCCCTGAGTTAACCTTGCCTTATCTCAAGAAAGTGAAAATGTAAACAGACACATCCTAAATTTAGTGCTTAATTCTCATTGGATAAGGTGGGCATGATACCTGTACTTCAGATGATAGAAGGCACCAAGGGTCAGTCATTAAGTAAGGAGGGCAGGGAGAAGAGAGTAATTTGGGAAGAAAAATATACCACAAACAATGTTCGCTGGTTAACACACTTTATATTTAACAAAATAATTTTTAATAATATATTCTTTTACACATCAAATATTGTTGCTAGAGTCCCCTTTTTTACAGTTTAGTGTTTAGGTTTTGTTTTTTTTTTTCTCACTAGTTTTCAGGCACACCATTTTTCAAAGATTTTAGAAACTGAATCGTTTTTTTAACAGGCATCAGCTGACAAACAGGATGTTGATCCCTTGTTTAAACATAGCTGTAGTTAAAGTGAGAACCAAAGGCAGAGGAGAAATGGAAATGCGGAGGTGACCCAGTGGCTGCAAACAGAGCCTTCAAAGGACGAAAGGAAATAAAACAAGACAAAACAAAACAAAGCAAACAAAAAACACCGGCAGATGAGAGCAGAACTCTGTTGTTCAGAGTTTGGAAAGAATTTCTCAATGACCTGGGTAGAAGGAAGTTGTAAAATGTTTATTGGTTTATGAGAAGTTCTGTCACAGTATAGGTATTTCTCTCCCTAAAGGGGTAAAAATGTCAGTGCTTCAGTGTCTTAAAGGAAACACTTGTAGTGAAAATGAAAAACAAAAGAAAATTCCCAAACTGAAGAACAGCAATAAAACTCCCCCTCTCCAGCAGGTAGCAGGGGCCACTGAGCAGCCACTTCCTCTCAGCTCTCCGGATGGATGTTACACTCCATGCTAGCAAATTCTTGCTGTGACTTTAACTGTGCTAAGACTTGGATGCAAAATTTCTGTACTTCAGCCTCCCAGTTGCACTTTCTTTCTGTTTTCTAGGAAGGACACAGTTACTCCTGAATAATAGATAAGGTACTAGGCTACATGGCTCTATTAATAATATGTTTTGAGTTTCAAACCTTATTCCTGTCATTCATTATTATTATTGTTATTATTATTATTTCTTTCCAAGTGTGGATTTTTGAAGCTGGCAACAGGCAACCTCAGGGCAAAGAAAGCTCTATAATAATACATCTCTGTCTAGACACAAGCTGAAGTGTGGAATGCCTTTACTTTTGAGTGCAGGCATAAATCATGCAGAATTGTTCATGAATGATTCATGACTGTCTCTATGATGTATCCATGGTGGCAACGGAAAGTCACCAACCTTGCAGCAAATTGGTGTTCTAAGAGAAGGTGGCAGGATGCTCTTCCTCATGGTGGCACCAACATGGCTATTTGTATCATGACACAAGCACAGTGTACATAAAAGTGTCAGGTGCAACACATCTGCACATTAATTTTGGAAATGACAACTCTTACTTGATGATAGGAGATGTTTCCAGGGAGGAGAGTTGACAGTTTTAAATGAAAACCTGATTCTTGAGACTAGAAACTGGTATTCTGTGGGTGAACCTGTACTGTTACAAGCGTCCCTCCTTATGGAGGAGATTGACCTTTGGGGCTGCTCTTTGCACATGGCCCAAAGGACTCTGTTTCACCAGAGACACACATGCAGGCAGAGTCTGCCCAGCACGCTTCCCTGGTGAGACCACTCTGCGATTCTAGACCACTGCTTCTCAACCAGGCGAAACGGGGAAACCAAATCCATGCCTTGAAGATATTTGGCAATGTCTGGAGACACTGGGTTGTCACAAAGGGAACCGCAACTGGCACCATGGATTGAAGCCAGGATCCTACTGCACATCTTAAAAATGAACAAATGGGTGATCTGGTACAAATAGCAATCCTGCTAAGGTCGAGACACCCTGCTTTAGAGTAGGGGCCATGGCGAAGACCAGGTTGGGGTGAGAGCAGAAAGAAAAAGAACGCCGATAATGAAGACAGCCTTAAAGTGTCCTCCATTGGGTCTGCACCAGGGTTTTTAGGACAGGAGAGTGAAGTAAAAGACTAACTGGGCCATGTGGTCTCAGAATTGAGAATTTCGCACGTTGAGTCGAGGTGACACCAAATACCCTGTGTAGTTTATTTTATTTTAATATTTTATTTTACTATACTAGCAGCATTACCAGGGCAACCTTGAGACTCTTCAAAGGTTCATTTTAGTAGTTTAGTATCTAATATATACATTTAAAAAATGTTCAACAAATGGAATTATATTGTGCAAGATTCACTCTACCCTAATCTTTAATTGAAATCAGCACTTGTGGTGGAAAGACTGTCCTGAATCTGGATTTTAGATTTAGGGCTGAGTGGTTGTTACTGTAACATGGCAAACACAGTCCTGAACTGTAAAACCTGTTCTGTGTTCTACTGGCTTTCAATGAAATTGGAGCTCGAAAGTCAGAAGTGTTAAAAGGGATTAAGATTCACAGTGGGGCTACTCACCCTGGCTCTGTATTTATATTGCCTGGTGACAGAGTGGGTTTGCAGTATGTTTAGCGATAAACCAAACTCAGGTTCTGCATCATGAAAAGATAAGATGTTGAATGCTACGATTTTCAATACCTGTCTCTCTTTGGATTCTTTAGTCAAACGCATGGGTTTCTTCACTATTCATTTTGATTGGCAGTTTCAAGGTTTTGTGCATGAAATGCCTGGCTTGTAAAAATCAAATCATGAACCCTCAGATAACGGACAAAGTGCCAGTTCTGATCTAGCCCAGTGGAGGGCCTGTCTATGTGTTCACCTCTCTTTTCTTAGCTTTCAGGGAATAATTCACTTCAAGGGAGCGATCGGCTGCGTGTTCTTGTGTCTTTCTGCTGGGAAAGGATCCTTCCCACTGAGATTTCTTTATGAAACCTTTTTTTGACACAACTCAAACTTTAATGTGCAGTCAAATCTGCCCATTTAGGCTCTAGAGGTGGAAAAAAAACCCTACTAACTACTACAAGAGAAAAATGCCACGTGGGATGTACAGAAGAGGAAAAATGCAGTAAATCAGAGGATGGTAGGCTGGTAGGTGAGCGGCATCACCAGGAAAGGAGCCTGTGCAAGGCTGTTTCTTTCTTTTGTTCCAGAAATCCCATCATCAAGTCACCATCAAGCATTGGCAATTACAAAAGCGGTTTAGATAGCTATTACTATATATATTTTATATAGCAAGAGAAAACAAATTTCCTCTTAGCAAAATATTCACTTTTGTCAACCCCAAAAGGTTTTTGCTGGTGACCCTGTTGTAGCTGGCAGGAGTTTGTTTTTTGTTTTGTTTTGTGTTAAATATGTGCGTTGTAGAAGCCACAGCATCCTCTCCTTAGAGCTTGTCATTGGTTGGGAATTTGTCCTACACAGTCTGCTTGCCTTGGCATTCACGCTTTGAACACTGAGCGGGCTTCCACCAGTCCCCGTTGTGACAGTGACAGATGTTACATTCGTCCACTTTCACTTCAATGCCAGCCGGAATTATTGTAGTTCCTGCAAAGCAGTTTGGACCTGGAACACACACATGCATTGATTAGTGAATTAAATCTGGGAAGCGCCTTGTTTTTCCCCCATGTCCCTCCCCCAAAGAACAATTCCATCCCTAAGCCATGAGCAAGTAGGTCAGCTATGCTAAAAACTTAGCGCCCAGGAACTTTCTACCCAGCCCCTTTAAATTCAAATTCTCAACCCTACTACCTTTTGCCCACACCCCATATTTCCCATGTATATTATGTATTTTTAAAAAAGTGTTCCAAAGTATCACTGACTGCCTATTGCGTGTGTGCAATTTCCTAAACTAAAGTTCTGTGAATTAAACTTTGTTTGGTATAAAGGCTGCCAAAGTGTACCCTGAAATGTGAGTGGAGGATCGGCACGTTCTGCATCTCATCACAGTCTCTGTGGCCCGTCTTCTCCCTCTGAGGGGTGGGTGTGAGAAAATAAACTCATTCATTGCCCAGATCCAGCACCTCTGAGCCCAGATCCTGGAATCACCAGTTTGTTTCTTGATAACAATGAATAATTCATACCTGGATGATTTATTCATGTCCCCAAACAAGCTTTGTTAGGGGTTCATTTGATTTTCATAAATGGAGTTCCTTTAATCTTTTGGTTTTTTTTTTTTAAAGAATGACCCAAACAGTTGGTTTTTGAAAGTCAGCAGGCTTTTTATTTTACTTTCTCACATAAAGGAAAGCCTTGTTGCAAATGTCATTTGTTTATTATAGATGGAGATTTAAAAAATACACCAATCTGAATTATTTACTCTATCTATCTATCTATCTATCTATCTATCTATCTATCTATCTATCTATCTATCATCTATCTATCTATCTATCTTCTGTCTTCTTGCATTATTTATTTTTTTATGTTTTATTTATTTGGCACAGGATCTCACTACTCAGCTTAGACTCAAAGTGATCCTCCTGTCTCAGCTTCTCCAGTGCTGGGATTACAGACATGTGCCAACACACCTGGTTTCAGTGGCCAGCACAGTGTGCCCAGGATTCTGGGTCTGCAAGGCATGTGATACCAGGGATCGAACCCTGGTCCTTGCACTTGCCAGGCAGGTGTTTAGCGTTCCAAGTTATCTCCTCCACCACATTGCATTTTTTAAAAAAACCCTCCCAATGTAAGAACATTCATGGTCAGCATTATTAAATATTATTTCCCAAATTCAAGTGGAATGAAAGTTATACCCCAGTGTTTAAAGAAACAGTAGTGGGGTGGTACAAATTGCTGGTTTCTGAAAATAATTTCATATTGGCTCCAAAGTATATCGATACATATTTGGGCAAAGAGAGGGAGCGCTGAATTGTGCCGAGTAGTGATTTATTAATCCAGTAACACTGGCCACAGCCACTAACATCACAAAATAACATGGCGATGTATGCCAATAGCAGTATCCTACTTCCACTTTTGTGCCACTTGAGTGTTTATAAGACCACCTAGACCACAAAATAAATAAATAATTAAACAAACAAACAAATAAATAAAATCAAAGAACTACTCTTTCTTTCTTTCTCTTTCTCTTTCTTTCTTTCTTTCTTTCTTTCTTTCTTTCTTTCTTTCTTTCTTTCTTTCTTCTCTCTCTCTCTCTTTCTTTCTCTCTTTCTTTTTTGCAGTACCAGTGTTTGAACTCAGGACCTTGTGTTTGCTAGGCAGGTACTTGTGCCACTGAGCTATCTCCACAACCCTTTACAATTCTTATTCATTGGTGAAGGCTTACTTTTATAAATAGGTCTAAGTTTATTTATGCACACAAATTTATCTAATAACTGTAACTCTGAATGTTCATTGTTATGTCTGCTGAGCTCTCAGGGCTCTGTTGTCCATGCACTTACCAGTGGGATTAGTTTTCCCATCCCTTCCCTTCACTCTGCAACACACACATGTAGAGTGTTTGTGCCTGAGTGTGGAGCACCCTAAAGAGCTGAAGGGATGTATTGGGCCAACTCTATGGTTAAACAGCTACTGCAATATCTGCCGTTACCCAGGAGGGTGTTTCTTTTTCTGACCTTATGATATAAGTGCTTGGCTTTCCTAACTGCTAATTATTCGAGGAACATAGTATTGATCCCATAAGAATGGAGCTTTCAGGCATTGTTTAATAGACTGGACTGCCTTTGTGACTACAGGTGTCTGGGAAAAGTCAACACCAAATCAGAAATTTGTTCTAAACCCAGAGTAGAGTCTTCAGAGAGGTTTAGAAGCCTTTTCCAGAATGTTGCTGGTTTGCCTACGCTTGTCATCAGCCCTCTCTCAGCCAGTGAGATTAGGCAAAATGGGGTCTTTCCAGAGCCACAGTAGCTTCAGAAATGGAACTAGACATGACAGCCAACTGTGTGCTTGGTTCCTGTCTCTACCTCTTCTCCCAGATCAAGCCTTTTCATGCCGATTAGTTTTCCTAGATGATGAAAGAAAATATTTGTTTCCCTAAATAATGGTTTCAGACCAAAGAACTTCCTGGAACAAGCAGAATATGATCCAATGAGCGTTTTCATTACTAATTTAGAGGAATTGAAATTTGAGTGCAGAATCTTACTATGCACGAGTGTGTGCGAGCATGCTGCAGGCTCACAGAAGCTTCGTCAATCTCCACGCACAGTAATAGTAAAAGGCAGGAAAAAGCAGGTACAAAGAGATTTCTTAACCACTGCCACGTGTGTCTTGAAAAGAGCTCTGTTTTTTTCATATTTGTCCTTTTCTACTTATGTTGGTGTCATGCTATGATCAGTATGTATTCAATTCACCTTCATCATTATTTAAAAGTCATTTGGAATTTGTTACACTTTCAACCTAAGAAATATTAATTATGTTCATGAATAGAATGTAAAGAAATGTCCACTGCATGCACCAGAACTGAGGGCTCTGCTTGTAAATAACATAGTAAGCTCTCAATTGTTGACATTGAGACCAGAGGTATTTTACAGAACTGAAAATTCTTGTTTGATCTTATTAAGTTCTGTGCTAAAGTGCTTTTCTTGGTGCCCTTCTGAGAATCTCAGGTGTAACTATAGCAAGTCTCAAGTCTGCTGTTAATAGTCTTATCTACTTAAACGTAATTTAGATAATTGTCAAGTGGAATGGTTGGTACTACTTAAAAATTGTTCTGGTTTTAGTGCTTCCTGCTTAATCATGGTGACAGTAAATGCTAATTTGCGTTGAGGATGTGAGTGTTCTACATGAGTTCTCACACAGGAAATCTATTCTTCTATCTATCCTTCTCCTTATTGTTTCATCTGTGTATAGGGTGAGTTGCTTAAAAGAGTGAACTCAATGGCAAAGCAACATATTTTAATGTAGAGGACTTAACTTCAGAAGGGAGCAATGAAAATGATTAAACGGGAGGTTGGCAAATAGGCCCTTTGAGAAAATGATAAAGGGATTGGAATTATTTAATATAGAAAGAGAAGGAACAACAATAACTAATAACTCTCAGAGCACAGAGGCTTGGTATTTAAAGAATGGTGGACAACCATTTATGATTTCTTCTGAGGCATAGAATAAAAGGAAATAAAGATACACTAATTTTCAATGTATTGAAACACACACACACACACACACACACTCCTCAGAGAACTGAGGATTGAATATAAAAGTTGCTGACAATGTTGTCTGACAATTCTCTCTTACAGATTTTTAAGAATTTTCGATAGGTCTGGGCACATAGGAGTGGCACAGTGTGTGCTTAGCGTGCATGAGGCTCTGGATGCAATTTCCAGCACCAAAAACAAAAGAGTAGCAAAATAATGTATGAAGTCTTCTCTGTTAGATGTAATTTACATTATCAACTTCTTGAGGGCAGGAATTAGATATCTGCTATTTCTTTTGGTTCAGGTCTAATACTATGTCCAGCAAATACTAAGAACTCAGTATGTATTTGCTTAACTTATCAAAATAGAGTGAACTAGTTTGTTATACATTGGAAACAAACATAATTTCTGAACTTGTAGATTAGACCTTATTCATTTACTGGGAAGTCCTGATAATGTTCAAGAGATGATCTAAAAATATAGTGAATTTTTAAATTAAAAATTACAGTAAGATATATATTTCCAAGGATGATGGGACACATGTTCAAAGTGAAGGGGAGTATTTTGAAGGGGATGGTTGGCAATGCATCTTTTACTAAAATAAATACTTTTAGTTAAACAGTCAAAGGGCCAGCAAAATAGCTCAGTAGACTAAGTACTTGCTTAGGCAAGTGCAGGGACCAGTGTTCAATCCCTGATACTGCACACCATACTGGCCCAACCCCTGGGTGCATTGGGCTGGTGATGGAGTCCTGGCGTGGCAGCGTATGCCTGTAATCCCAGCACTAGGGAGGCAGAAAACTGGAGGATCATTCCATGTTTGAGCTGTACAGTGAGACCCTGAACAAAACATAACTAAAATAAACAAAATAAGAACAACAAAACAGTCTCTGTATTTTGTAATCATCCCTCACTGATTAAACATTTCTGGTAATTCCTATTAAATAAAAGCATTATTGTTTCTCTTTATCCATCTGTGGCTCTGGTACCATGTGACTTCTGACTTTTCTCCAAATTGAAAATGACTATGGACAGTAAATGTCTTGAATTGACAGTATATTGAGGCAGTCATGACAGTGCAACAGAAGTCATTCAGGAGAAGGGACTTCTAGAATTGCTTCAGAAAGTGGCGAGAATGAGGGATATGTATATTTGATGGGAGGTGGGGGATTTTGAGGGGAATTAAGGGCAATATGTCTTTTACTGTAATGAATTTTAAAAATTTAAATATTTGCTCTATATTTTGATAACACTTTTCATAGAAAAATTTCACAATGAGTTAAAACATGTAGTGAAAATATCTCAAGCACTTTCTTTATGTCACGAAAATGTTTCATTTAATCTTAACAACAAACCATAGAAGGTGCACACTTTTTCCTTAGGACACAGAGACTCACAGCTAGAAAATAATTTGCTTGCAATCACATCTACTGGACCTGTCATGGGATTAATGGAGTATAATTTCAAATTTCTGCA